AAAACAATAAAAACAGAGTGAAAGCCGCAAAGAAAATAACAACAAAATAGATCTCAAACATCAGACGCCATCGGGAATTCAGCTACCCTAAAATACCTTTACAGAACCGCTAAGTTCAAACCCAAAAGGTTAAGTCGGTTACCTTGAAACGTTAAGGGCGTGATTGGATATAAATTCAACTAGTAAAAAATTTAATTTCTTAACTATAGTTAAATTTGAAAAAAAGTGATATGATTAGTTGTTAGTGGATATATTGAAATAATATTTAAATAAAATAATTAAAGCTGATTTGATATAAAAGTAGGAGAAAATGATTGAAATTGATGGTTAGGTAAAATTATGTGAGTGGAAGAATAGTGAATTAAAGTTAATGAGATGTGTAAGAATGATTGGTTGATATTATTTAATTATATTAACAATATTAGAGATAGTAGAATTAAGTTAAAGTTGAGTTAAATTTGAGTTTTGATTGTTTTTTTTACTGTACAATCCATATACAATCGCCCCCTAAGCTCTTGGCCATCCCAGGTCCACAGGCTCGCCATGGAGGATCACATGGACCCCGACTTCCCATTCCTAATCAAAGAGTACCCTCCTGCCTTCAGAGAATCACCTCTCCTCACGTGCACTCAACATAGTCTGTCGGGAAAATTTTCAAGCCCTTCAATTGGTGCGATGGTGAGAATTTGGGAAGAGAAAATAGGTATCTGCTTTTTAAAAAAAATGAAAAAGCAAACGGAAACGCAGAGAAAAAAATAAAACCAAGACAAATTGTACAAGATGATAAGAATGGGAAAAAGGTTTAAGACAGAAGTGGTACCCAGATATCCCGTGAAAAAGATCTTCCAAACAGGAGCGAGCAAGGCCACAAAATCTCACCGTACGACCGTCTCACCATATTTTCCAGTACCTGCCACACACGTCTTCAAAGGGCAGCACAATAATTTGAAGCTCAAAGCAGTGGCAGTACCCGTAAAAATAGCTGAAACTGGAGGACATTTATGCTTGAACAAATTGACACGTGTCAAGCCCAAAAGCACTCACACTTTTTCTTATATGTAAGAGCGAGATTTGAAGAATTTACACTTCTGCGGTAATGAATTGCTTTTATTTTCATATATACCAAATATAAAACTTAATTGCACTTATACCTAACTTAATCAAATTATTTATATACATACAATATAATAAACGGATGAAGTCATAAATGACTTACCATAGCAGATTCCCTTAACTGACGGGAAGCATGCTTGGAGAGAGAATCTCGATTTGTATCTACAACTATCTCCCACTTCGATCTGTATTTATGGCCATCTCTCATGTTGATATGCCACTGGCTTGAATTCCGAGAATCTCGAGTATATATCTTATGTATATTTTATGTATATGTAGGTTCTGAAAATCAATTTTGAGAAACGATTGAAACTCGATTGTATATTCAAAGTATATTTTATGTATATGTGTGTCCCCATCTGTCGCACCGGATAAAAGGGAGAACAAAAACAGATTATATACAAAAGATATACTGAATATATCTCTATTATATATACAGACATATAAATACAGAAAATAAATTGATATATCATTTTATACAGGGTATATACAGAAGATATATTCACAGTGAATTGACCTTTCTTGTATGTTTTCCAACTGAGCTTGTCTTTGGTACCCCAATGGCTTATGTGGGTCTTCAAGATAATCTCAACATCCATAGGAGTAAATGACTGTAAGATCAAACTAGTGTCCCATTTATTTTCCCCTGCAATCATGAGATCAGAAACCATGTGAAGTCTTAGCCTGTCACTCTCAAAACAACAAATAGTTTTAAACCAATTGAAGTTTGGAATCCAAGGTGAATCTCATACCCTAATTGGCTGCCCATTACCCACTTGATACCTCACACCAAGTGTTAAGGAATTCCTAGAATCTGGCCATACTTTCCACATCCAAGAGTCAAGATCCTTTTTTTTTTTTAACTTCTAAAAAGCTCTGATTATGACAATATCTACCTTTCATCACCCTGCTCATTAAGGTATTGGACTTATTTAGCATTCTCTATATTTGTATAAAAATGAGAGCCTCATCACGTCTATAGATCCTTAAAACCCAAACACCCCTCCAGTTTTGCTTTTGTTAGCTTAGGAGCTCTCCTCAAAATCGTTTGTCTACTGTCATTTTCGGATATTTCTGTTGAGGGAGGCTGTGTTTTTAGTTTGTAATTGTTTTGTTTTTTGTGTGTTTAGTGTTTGTTCTTGTTTTGTGTCGTATATGTTGGTGTTTGTGTTTGAATTTGTGTTTAAACTTTGTGTGAATTTTGCTAATATATATATATATATGAATTAATATTATCTCAATTCCTAGTTTGTACAAAAAAATTATCTTTGACAATTTGGTTATATTGTTTTAAGTTCTTTCAACTCATTCTAAATAGTAGTTTTTGATATTTTATTTTCTTATGTAATATTAACTCATCATGAATGATTTATATACTATATTTTGCATCGATGATATCCATATAGTGCTAGCTTGAATTACTTATAAGAAATTCAAGTATGAAATACACGTTATAAGATTAAATTTCTTTATTGATTATTATTGAATGCAAGTTATGTAGTTATAAAAATAAGTAATTAACTTTTTTTTTTTACAGTACACTTATAATGCAAAACAATAAATAATAAATAATAATAATATTAATCATTACTGTTATATATAAAATCCTCTAATTATTACACATAGCACGATTAATTTTATAATTATAAAAACTCAAAAATAAATATAATTAAGTTTTTTTTTTTAATTATTTATTTTAAGCGTTTTCAAGTAAGCGCGTAGGGTTGTGGGTGTTGGTACTAAAACCTGAACACGATTCGGCCTGTAGTTCGATTAGTAAATCTATACCCGAACCAAATCCTATACCCGCATAATCTGTATATATCCGACCCAAAGTACGAGTAACACGACCCTATATGTTTTATTAACATTCATATCGAATTTAAATCTTCTCATTTCCTTCAAGTAATCAGGGCCGGCTCCCGGGGGGAGGCAACCTAGGCATGGGCCTAGGGCCTCCCTTTTATTTGGGACCTCATATTTTTATTTAATATTATATATTTGTGTAGAGTTTTGTCTATCTACATAAATGAGGCCTCACTATTTTTTTAATATTATGTATTTGTGTTGAGTTTTGTTTATTTACACAATATTTACACAAAAGAAGGTGTTAATGGCTAAATATGGACTTAAATCATTACACAAATGAAGGAGCTAATGGCAAAATATATAGTTTTTGTGAAAAATTGAGATCCTAAATATTTCATTTGTTTTCGTACGATGTTCGATCAGAACAAGTTGTGTGAGAAAATAAATATTCTTTGTAATGATATGATTTTTATTTTCTTGTCTTTAGTGTCCTCGTGATTGGTTGATTGTAATTTATTAAAGATTTTTATAGCCCGGAGGTAATTTATCAATTCCAAGTTCAAGAAAAACAAGATTTTTTTTTTTCAATTATTTATTTATTTAATAGTCTCGTTAAAATTTATGATTGTATCTGCGAATAGCCCTAATTACCACGTAAATTCAAATCGAGAAAAATCGAAAAGAGAAAACTTGCCTAGGGCCTCCGAATTTCTGGAGACGGCCCTGCAAGTAATGCACCCAAGTCATCTATTTCAAGAGGCATCAATTAGTTATAAATATATGTTTCGAAATGCCAAAATCATTGCATTTCGACCCTTCAAAATTTATATAAAACATTGATCACATTTAAGGTTGGAAACGAGTCGAGCGGCTCACAAGTCACACGCGAGCTCGAGTCAATGTTCGAGTTCGAGTTCGACGCTCGAGTCAATGCTCGACTCGAGTTCGGTTGAACTCAAACTCGAGCAGTTCAATCAAGCAAACGAGGGAAGCTCCGAGCATCATTTCAAGAGGATCGTAAGCTTGACGAGCCACTCAACTTTTTGTTTACATAAAATCCCCATATAGTTTAATTATCAGTATGAGAACACGAAGGCCTACATTGTCTATTTAGATTCAAAATAATTTATTTATATTTAAAATTTAGTTGTTAAAATTTTGAGTCATACTTGAGCCACGTCGAGCATCGAGTCGTGCTCGAGTATTTTTCACAAGTCGAGTCGAGTATCATTTTACATGACTTGTCAAGCTCAAGTTCGATCTGGAACAATAAAAAAATATTCGATTTTCACTCGAAAAACCTATGCTCCATGCTCGATTCGATTCGATTAAAGCCCAACTTACCAAAAGGAAAATGTATAAAAGAAAAAAAACAAAGAAAAAAAAAAAAAACCATTGAGTGCAATGCGCGTACAGAGCATTTGTTCACCGAGCACACTTGTCCATTCCCAAAACCCAGTTGTCTTCTCATCCTTTAGAGAGAGAGAAGAGAATCCTTTAGAGAGAGAGAGATTGAGTGAGTGAAGCCGAACCAAAGCAAACCCATGTTCTCTCTCCTATTTTCTCGAAATTTCTAGTGAGAGGAAAGTGCAGAGAGTGAAGAGAGAGAAAGTGTTGAGAACCGATGCTGTGGTGGAAATGGGGAAGGCCGACAATCAGCGACTGCCTGTTGTGCAGCCGTCTAACGGCGGCAGCGCCTCTGCTACCTTCTTCCCCTGCCGGAGATGTGCGATGGGTTGTTTCAGGCTGTCCAGCGTTAAATGCGGCGTCGTTTTAGCACTCAGTTTGGCAGCTTTTCTTTCCGCTTTTTTCTGGCTCCTCCCTATTCGGTACAGACAAGCTGGGTTCGATGCTAATGACTCCATCAAGCTCAGCGGTAAATTGCTGATTGTTTTTCTACTTTTTTCCTTTTTAAATTCTATAATTCAAATGTTTGTTGCTTCGAATGCAATTGGGGATCGTCGTATGTTGTTGCTGTGAAAATTTAGGTTTTTGTTTTTCCGTTGGATATAATTAGTCCCCTTTTTGTTGATTACCTCAAAAATCGAAAGTCATAAATACTTTCACTTTGTGTTTTATGTGTTTCTACAATTTGTATTTTCAGGTTCTTGCTGGTTCTTCTTCTTGCTTTTATTTTTATTCATTTTTATCTACTCGGAATTCTTGCTGGCATTTGTAATTTGACTTCTGCTTGATTAGAATTAGTGGGTTAGTTTGGCCACAACTCTAGTGCTCTGAACAATCTAGTCATATCTCATATGAAAGATTTATAATTTCAATAATGAAATAAGGTAGACATTTGAGATTGCATGCGAGTTCCAAAACCGTAAGGTCGTCATTTGGTTGGTAAATTTCCGCTTTGAATCAATGATGCCCATTTGCGATTTGATTGTGCATAATTCTATCACTTTGTGCTAGGCCTTTGTGAAGTGATTATGTAACTGCAAGTGTTCATTTCTTGTTTTATTTTTAATTTCTTATATTTTCATACACCCCGAGCATCGGATCAGATGCTCAGAATGTGGCTATGTTTTTCCACTACTGTATAAGACACAATGGGACTATGCATTTAATTTTCTCCCCTCATGAATATGCTGACCTGAAAGTTCTCAGAACTTTGTGTACTATCCCCAAGAGGCCATGACCCGCCAATGTTGTTGCCACTGAATCTAGCTATGCATACACTTACCATTCTTTGGTACTTTCTTTTTAAGTGTTTTGTCTAGACTAACATCACTTTTTACTGGGTTTTCCCCAAGTATGTGTGTGTGTGTGTGTGTGGGTGGTGGTGGTATATCTCTAGTGCTTACATAAAAGGAGTAAAATATACAAACTAAATAGTATTGAACTTTTGTGCATTTTCTTTTGTTCTTTCTTTCTTTTCTTAAATTTTGTTCCTCTTTTTGAACTAATTGTCTGTTTCTCATTTCAGCCATAGTTCAGTCATACTTCAAGCTCCAGAAACCAGTTTACGAGCTTGTGCCGTATGTTACAAGACTAGAATATGATATCAATGATGAGATAGGTGTCCCGTCATCTAAGGTTTTCTTCAAGTTTGCACCTTATCTAGCACTTTCATTTTCTTCTTTTTTTTTTTTTTTTTTTTTTTTTTTTTTTTTTTTTTTTTTTTTNNTCTTGATTGCATGAGAATATTGATTACATTATTTTTCTCCAGGTTGCTGTGTTGTCCATGCACCAGGCGGAATTACCTAACCTGACATATGTGGTGTTTGGCTTCCTTCCTGACCCAATCAACAGCACAATGAATGTAGTGGCCTTGACTTTGTTGAAATCATCCTTAATTGATCTGTTTCTCGAACAATACAATTTGACGTTGACCTCTTCGATTTTTGGAGAACCTTCATCATTTGAGATCTTAAAATTCCCTGGGGGGTTCACTATAATACCGGAGCAAGTTAATTTGATAACTCAGCCCCTGATGAATTTCACGCTCAATAGCTCCATTTATGACATAAAAGAGAATCTCAAGGAGTTGAAAGATCAACTACGATTTGGATTGCATTTGATGCCTAATGAGGTAGATTAGAATAATACCACTTAAACTTTTTCTCTACATATTGCACAGCTCCAGCAGCAGTTAGATTTTGTATGAGGTTTTTATTCAGCGACTTTTCCTGAAACTTGTTAAGCTATTAACTGTTCGTAACTCTAATTTCCAGTCACTGACTATTTATTTATTTTCGTTTCAGTCACATAGTCTCAAATTCTTTAACTTACGAATTTTTATGCAATTCCTACTATCCAGTTACATCTCATTGATTATCTATTTTATGGTCCATTTCCCTCCTTGACACAGGTGGTGTACATACAAGTAACAAGCAGACATGGGTCGACGAAAGACTCCCCAGTTACAGTCGAAGCTTCAGTTGCATCTGATCGGGGAACAATACTTCCTGAAAGACTAATACAGCTGGCCCAGATAATCACCGGCTCCCCACCTACTGAAAATCTCGGTCTCGATCATTCTATTTTCGGGAAAGTCAAAGAAATCAGTCTCTCATCATTCCTAAATCATTCTCTTTATGCACCAACACCTGCCCCAATACCTACACCGACCCCTTCTCCAGATTATCCTGCATTTGCACCACGAATTCCTCCTTCACTACCACCTTCTTCTAATTGCCATTCACCTTCTCCGATTTCTCATCCGGAGAAAATTTCTCCTAATTTGTCACCTCAACCTGTTTTCACGCCTCAAAGTTCGCCAGCTCCTTCTCCACTTTCAGGTGCTCCGTACAGCTCGCAAGCTCCGGATGGTAGTGGGGCTTCTCCTGTGCATGTCTCATCGTCTTTTCTGAATACCCTTCCATGTAAGTTTGTAAGCAAATATCTACACTGTTTTCTGATATTATTCATTATTGGCAACCTGCATGTTCCCATAACAGGATGTTCCTGTTATCTTGATTCCTATTTTTTTATTTTTTTTAATTAGGCAATAGTGAAAAGAGTGGAGTAAATTAGCTGTTTAATAGAATTGACATACACGCTTATTCTTGTGGTTCCTTAATATGTGGAGTTCCTACCCAAATAAGTGATAGGATTCTGTACCGCACTTTGTGCAGGAAAAGGAGAGAAAAGAAAAGAAAAAAAAAAATTGTAATTGATCAATGGAATTCTACCCAACTAATTCTTACAGGTCCTAGTTATTTTCAACACAACTATTTTACTCATTACTTTATAGTTTTTTCCATTTCTATTGGAACCTTTTCTTTTTCCACCCAATCGATGCTTTGGACACTAATGGATGCTGCACCTCTGCAGATTTCGTACTAGGCACTTGGAGGATACAGCGGCTGTACCTAAACGGACTTTTGACTTTTGTTCTCCTATTCTGGATATCTTAAACAGTGCTTGATATTCAAAAGCCCGAAAAAAATTTTAGGAGGCGTGTTTAGTTATCTGCTTACAGTTTTTGGTTGGTGGAGAGTGGTTAGAAGTTGGAGAAGCGTTCAAAGGAGTAGAAAAGGAGTTTGGAGGTCAAAGCCGAAAGAAGGCAGGCCTCAGCTAGTCACAACGTCTCTTGATAAAATGTGGGTTATTTTGTTGATCTTGCTGTTTTTGACCATTTTAACCTTGTGAAGAGGTGTTGTGGGGTGGTCGAGGGAAATAAATGAGTTCCCTCTATTTAATTTAGCATCCGGAGAAAATCACTTGCTTCCTTGCAAGCTTTCCGAAAGAGCAAACTGTAAAGCTACGGGTTCTTTTCGATAGTTTGCAGGGGAGTGGGGAAGGGAGATGCAATGTGAAGGGTCTACTTTATTTAACTGATGTTAGCCAAAAAAAAAAGTATTAGTAGCATTATTATATATGAATTAAGTTAATGGATTATCTTTGAGCATGCTGGTATGCTACCACCTGTGTATTGCTTCCTCTTTAAACTGTCCTTTGATTTTCTCCCATGATTTTTTCTGCTGTCTGTTTAAACTTGTTAAAAGTATTCCAGTGGCATGTTTCATCTGCTGATCTGACCTTCCGTTCTATCGTGCCCCAGTTAACGATAGCCTCGGATAGACTAAGCATTCGGTTCTGCCATTTCAGACAGCTTCAAGTTAGTTTCAGGCCTCTTCAGAATATGATGTAGGTTGCATATTTTACATTCAGACCCTGAAATTCAAAGCAAAGCTGGTTGATAGATGTGATGTAGGTCGTCAAATTTCAAATTCAAAGCTTGTTGATAAAATATCCACGAAAAGATTGGAGGATTTTGCACCGATACTGTCAATTATATTTTATATTACACATTTACACTTAATTAATTTTTATGTGCAAAGATGCAAAATCACCACAATATAATTCCACATATAGTAGAATTCAAATTTAAGTCAACATATTCAATAAATAAATAGAGAAAGAGACGGATTATATGAGATTTTAATCATAGCATGCTCTTCTCTCATCTCATCTTCCTCCTTCTCCTCCTCACCTAGCATTTCGGGGGTGTATTCGTTTAGGATTTTAAAAGACTATTTAAGATTTTACTAAGAATGAGATTTTATGGGATTTTACATGAATTCTCATGAATTTTATAGGATTTATTAGAGATCCTCAAAAGTTACATGTAGTATTATTCTAGACTACTATAGATTTCATCAAACTTTCCAAGAGTTTTATAGATTTTTTTTTTCTTTTTTTTTTTTTTTTTTGCATTAAATAAACATCAACATTGATATGTAACTATGTCGTTCTAAGATTTTAAGAAATTTGTACAAATTAATTTGAACATGAAGTAATGTGAGTTTTTTTTTTAAACATTTGTTTATGTATCTTTTGACTTTTTGTTCAAATATTAAGCCCACTACCCTATGAATATAAAAGTAACAAATATAATCAGTATAGGAAAAAATGCAACCTCGAATTGTGTCAACCGTTAAAAATTTTTCAAGGACATTATTCATCAGAAAACAATCTAAATTAATGACCATACAAAAATATTTTATGAAAAAAAGAATATTAAAAAATCCTTCAATTTAGAGCACATTTGTTTAACAAGATGGGATTAGACAAATTTTATCTAGAGATCTAAGATTAAACTGTATAGATAGGACTACACTTAGGTTTGTTATCTTTGATTTACTCANTATTAAGCCCACTACCCTATGAATATAAAAGTAACAAATATAATCAGTATAGGAAAAAATGCAACCTCGAATTGTGTCAACCGTTAAAAATTTTTCAAGGACATTATTCATAAGAAAACAATCTAAATTAGTGACCATACAAAAATATTTTATGAAAAAAAGAATATTAAAAAATCCTTCAATTTAAACAAACAAATTCGGAATAAATACAATTTTAACACGATCATAAATACTCATCAATAGAAAAGGTACTATAGTAACAAAACAATGGTTTTCTCATACAAAATAAAATATGGGCAAAGAAGAAGAAGAGAAGATGAGGAAGATAAATAATTCTTCAAGTTGCAAACGGATTTTTAAGAATTTATTGTAGTTATTCAATTGCAAATAAATTTGATTTTAGCGTAATTTTTTTTGTCTATTACTTTTCCGTCTTTGTCAAACACACACACGCACGCACACATATACATCCATTTTAATTATTAAATTTGAATGCAGTTTTGTTTAAAAATGCCACAAAAAATTAATTCAATATATTTTAATGATCACACAATATTCAGTAAGATGTGTGTGTTTGAGAATCAGATAAAACATGTATATGTTTTTAATATTTTTTAATATAATTATGCAAGAAGAAAAAGAAGAAGAAGAAAAAGAAGAAGACATATTATTGGAATTTGTAAAAACTCTTCACAGTAAAAATCCTTCACAATCCCACCTCTTAATGTGGGATTTGTAAGGAGATTTGCACATATATTTTCTCTTAGAATCCTAGCAAATCAAAATAAATACAAATCCCAAAAAATTTAAAAGGATATAAATACCTTGTGATTTTGTGGGACTTTACAAAATCACAGTTGAATACCTCTGGACTTTTCAAGACTTTTAAGAAGTCATTAGAAATCCTAATTAAATACCTCTAGACTTTTTAAAGTTTTAAAAAGTCTCATTTATATACACCAGATTTCAAAAGTCTTAAGAAGTATTTAAAAGTCCTTGAAAGTCTTAAACTAATACATCCCCTTCTAGATCCGAGGAAGTCCTAGTTCGGCGGAGCCACGAGCGGCGACGTGACGCACGAGGCTTGAACCTCGCAATTGATGGTTGACCCGAGAATACATCTACTAATTTCTTGTCGTCTCTGCAGAGGTCATGGAGGCGTGCGACGGAGTTGAGGATGGATGAACCGGACCAGAGGCTGGGTCATTAGTGTCCTGGCGACTAAAGATAATGATTGGAGATGGATTTCTCATTCTCTTTCTCTGTCAGACATTTTTTTGCTTTTCTTTTTGGAAGAGTTTTATGATGTCCTCAATTTCTGCCGACGTCCTCGTCGAGGGTTGCGGCGTAGCCATGGTTGGGGGGAGATGGTTGGTTGGTTGCAGGAAAATTTACGTTTGGTTCGATTTTTTAGGGTTTAGTTACAGTTTGCCGAGAAGGGTGATGATGGTAACGAATTATAATTTCATTATACAAATTAGTTTACGATCAATATATGTACATCTTAAGGATATGTACAGTTATTGTACATCTTAGTTTATGTTTGTATATTAGTTATGTACAAATTAATTATGTTTTTATGTACATATTAAGTATTGTTTTTAATTGATGTTTGCCTTTTTATGTTTAAAGCAAGCATAAACTGATTTTTTTTTTCTTTGTGTGTGTATATGTATGATTTACATGCATATTCCATTCATCATATAATGAATGAAAATCATTATAAGCGACTCCA